TTTCAGGAACAGTAAAAATTTCTAATGTCCAATTACCTCCATTTAATTTACCAACATTTGATGGATCTTTTGATCAATGGCTTTTCTTTCATGACAGTTTTAATTCAATTATCCATCAAAGCACCAGTATTTCCAAAGCACAAAAGTTTCATTATATTATTTGCGCCTATCATTACAAGGAACTACTGCAGATACTATTGAATCATTATAGATTTGTGACACTAATTATGACATGGCCTGGCAACTTCTTATTGAACGATATGAAAACAAAGCACTGTTAGTTTATAACCACATTAAACCACTTTTTAATATTCCCTCCCTTCCTAAAGAGACCTATCTTGGTCTCAGAAAAATTTTAGACGAAACACTAAAACATTTGCACTCTTTAAAGGTTCTTGGGTGTCCAACTGAACATTGGGATGATCTGGTTATATATCTCACTACAACTAAATTTGATAATGCCACACTCCGTGCCTGGGAATCAAGAGGAAGGACCAGTCAGTTAGCAAATATGGATTATTTGCTAGACTTTCTTAAGGATAGGTGTCCGATTCTCGAGTCAATGGCTTCAAATTCCAATAATGAAAAAACCAAGCCTATCAAACCTCATATCTCTAAGACTTTCTTAACAACACCACAAACTAAATGTTTTCTCTGCAATAGGCAACATACAATCTATAATTGCCCTGATTTTACTAAACTCACTCTTTTTTTTTTAGGCTGAGCAAGGCTAAAGAATTACGCTTGTGCATCATTTGTCTTAGTAATAATCATCTCATTAAGGAATGCAGATCAAAGGGTTGTAGAAAATGTTTTCAAATTCACCACACATTATTACACTTTGAAAATGATTTACCAAACAACAAAAATACACAACCTTCAACTTCTTCCAATGTCAACCTCACCCAGGCTCAGAAAATACAAGTCTCACAAGACAGCTCACTATCATGTCATATTAATTTTCCAACTGATTCACCTATTAAACCACATTTTTTGTCCACAGCCATTGTAAAGGTCTTCGATAAGAGTGGTAAATAACATGACTGCAGAGTCCTACACTCGACAATGGAAGTCAGTCTAATTTCATTTCACAGAGACTTAGCAATGAAAATTGAAATTACCCAAAGAGAACATTAACATTACAGTTTCTGCGATTAATAATTTAAATCACAATTTGAATTCTTTACTTCAGATAAGATTCAAATCAGTTATTAATAATTTTGAGAGACGAATTTCTTGCTTAGTTTTACCTTAAATTGCTGGAAATTTACCCTACACAAATCTTGACACTTCTTTATTGAACATTCCTATCGGCATAACACAGGCCGACCCAAGATTTGAAATTCCTGTTCCAGTTGATCTTCGCATAGGTGCTGATACATTTTGGGATCTTCTAAGCATTGGTCAGATCAAACTTGGAAAAAATATGCAAACCCTACATAAGACCAAACTTGGCTGGATCATCGTCAGTCCTCAAAATAGAACAGTACATTGTCTCTTCTCAGCCAATGTTGATATTATTCAGAATCAACTTTTTAAATTCTGGGAGATTGAAGAGTGGCCGAAAACCAAATTTCTTTCTGAAGAAGAAACAAATTGTGAAACTCACTTCAAACAGCATGTTTCACAAAGTAAAGAAGGCAATCTTATCGTTGCAAGTCCTTTGAAAGCATCTATACATGTTTTGGGAGAATATGAAAACACTGCTCGTAATCGTCTATTTTCTCTTGGGAGAAAACTTGACAAAAACTCAGACATGAAACAACAATACCATGTGTTCATGGAGGAATATATTCATGTCAAACACATGTCTCTTTCTGATAATCGCAGAACGACAAGTCAGGTTTCTTCTTACCCCATCACTGTGTTTTAAAAGATTCGTCGACAACAACAAAATTAAGGGTAGTTTTCGATGGGTCTGCTAAATCTACATCTGGATATTCCCTAAATGACATAATGACTGTTGGGCCGACAATTCAGGATAATTTGTTGAATATTCTATTACGTTTTCGCAAACATAATTTTATTTCGAGCACTGACATAACAAAAATTTACAGACAAGTTTTTGTCGAACAGGATCAACGTCATTTGCAGAAAATTCTTTGGAGATTCTCCACTAATGAGGACATTTCCATTTATACCTACCTTAAATACCATTACATATGGCACTGCTTCAACTTCATTTTTAGCAATCAGAGCTCTCCACGAAGTAGCTTATCGCCATATGAATGAAAATTCCAAACTTGCCTCGACAATCCTAAATGATTTTTATGTGGACGACCTCCTCACTGGTTACGATACTCTGGAAGAACTAATTCAAATTAAAAACGACATCTCACAGCTTCTTATCAAATATGGGTTTCTCTCAAGGAAATGGAAATCCAATCAGGAGTCAATACGTGATTCTAAATCTAACATACCTACTTAAAATTGGTCAAGAAGATCACAACATAACTTTAGGACTACTCTGGAACTCCCTAAATGACTTCCTACAATATTCTATTCAATAGTAAAATCACAAAACGCCATATTCTATCTTTTTCCTCCCAGATATTCGACCCGTTGGCACTTCTTGCCCCGGTAACAATTAGGTACAGCCAAACTTATTTTACAAGTATTCTGGAAATTACAAATTTCGTGGGATGAGTCTATTCCCATAAACTCTTTGGAGCAAATATCGCTCAGAACTTCCAATAATCAATGACCTCCAAATTTCTAGACAAATATCCATTTCCATCCAGTTACATGGATTCTGTGATGCATCGCAATTCGCTTACGGAGCATGCATCTATATACGTTGTTCAGACTCTTTTGGTAATTATAGTTCAAACCTTTGTTGTTCCAAAACGCGTGTTGCACCGATAAAGCAGATTACAATTCCAAGGCTTGAACTTAGGCGGAACTCTCTTACTTGCAGAATTGGCTGATAAAATGATTCCTTTATTTCCTGTTAATTTTAATCTAGTAACCTATTGTGTGATTCTACAGTAACTATCTCCTGGATCAACACATCTCCACGTCTACTCAAAACATTTGTAGCTAATAGGGTATCCCAGATTCAAACGCTATCCAAATATGGTTCATGGAAATACATAAACACATTAGAAAACCCAGCTGATATGCTTTCTCGAGGTGTAAACCCATCAACATTAATAAATTCTGATTTTTGGTTTCACGTACCTACATGGCTAAGGCTTCAAGAATATGAATGGCCCCCATACCTACTTCAGAAACAGAAACAATTGAGCTTACTGAGCTTCCAGAAACCTGCAATAGCACTACATCACTGCATGCAGTAATTGTATCTAATGATTTTGAATTAATAAACAAATGTTCTTCTTTGAAAAAACTTAAAAGGTTATTTGCCTTTGTGCTTCGATTCATCCACAATTGCTCCTCGTGTCAATCAGACACATTGATCACTCAGGAATTGGACCTTTCATTGAATTGTCTAATCAGAATTGTACAGCGACAATCGTTTCCATTTAAATACAATACGTTATTGAATGCAAAAAGAATACACTCTAATAGTAAACTTTTGTCCCTAAACCCATTCATAGACAATGAAAAACTGATGCGAGTCGGTGGTAAAAATCATCCGATTATACTTCCTCCCCAACATCATCTCACTTCTTTATTTATTAAAAATGAACACCTTTGACTTATACATGCAGGTCCACAAGCTCTTCTTGCGTCTTTGAGAGAACGTTACTGGCCAATCTCCGGTCGAAATTTGGTGAAAAGGATTGTGTGCGTGGCTTCAGATTCCGAAATAAACCAGAAAAATACCTAATGGGCAATCTTCCCAGTGAACGCGTCACTCCAGACCCTTTCCAATATCTGGTGTTGATTACGGCGGTTCGTTCTTACTCCGTGACAGAAAGGGACGTAATTTTAAAAACACTAAAGCTTACATTTCACTTTTTATTTGTTTGGCCAGTAAGACAATTCATTTAGAAGTGGTGAGTGACCTTACAACTGAATGCTTCCTAGCAGCCTTGCGCCGTTTCATGTCTAGACGTGGAAAATGTTCACAAATTTTCTCCGACAATGGCACTACCTTTGTAGGTGCAAATAATGAGCTGCGAAGATTATTAGATGACGACAATAACGCTATTACAGATGCTGTATCTAATGATGGTATTCAGTGGAGTTTTATTCCGCCACGCACCCCTATTGCACTTTGGTTATATTTGGGAGTCACGCGTCAAATCTGTTAAATTTCATATGAAATTTGTAATAGGCGACGCTTCTCTGACATATGAGGAGTCTTGTACCGTCCTATATCAAATAGAGGCTTGCCTCAACTCTAGACCACTTTATCCTCATTCCCACCACCCCAGTGACTTGAATTCTCTGACTCCAGCACACCTGCTAATTGGCGAATCTCTAACTGGCATACCAGACTACAACTTTATGGATGTTAAAGAAGGACGATTGTCAAGGTTCCAGAGAACACATCTACTTTCTCAGCACTTCTGGTCCAGATCGACTAAGGAGTACATATCCACGCTTCAAAATCGTGTGAAGTGGAAAGAAAATGTTGACCAGTTATTAGACCCTGGTGTTATGGTTTTAGTGAAGGATGATGCGCTGCCTCCACTCAAGTGGCAATTGGGAAGAATTGTTTCCACACATCCGGGAAAGGATGGCATAACGCGGACAGTAACGATTAAAACCGCGAACACTGAAATCAAGTGACCGTTAGTGAAAGTTTGTGTGCTACCGAATCAAACGATTGGGTATTGATCCAAAAAGTCTTGTCGTCCGGCATTACCACCGGCGGAGGTGTTCACTCGAAACTCGCACTTTCGCACAGACAGGTTGTTCAGCGAGAATAGAATATTTAATTTATGACTTTTTCCAAATTACACCTTTTTTTCTAAAATAAAATAAATGTTGATGTGAAATTCTCAAAATTGTTTACCTACTTCCACAAAACAGAGTGTAAGGGAACATTTTAAAATGTTCAAAGTCGCCGGTCGGAAAAAAAAGACAAATTGACTATAAATCCAGTGTTTAATAATAATTTCATTATTAGGCTAACTTAAGTTGCTATACCTACATGTAGGTACTTCTGAGGGAGAAAATTGTCTCATTTAACTATAATCCAAATTCATTCAACCTTCCTCTTAATGCTTTCAGAACAAAATGTAAATACCAATTTATTCACTGACACGATAAATTCTAAAATAATAAACAAACTGTTAAGCAACTTACCAATAACAAATTTAACTAAATAGATAAAAATTAAAATAACCAAAAAACAAACACATAAAATGTCCAAGAAATAATACTGATACAAAGGCAAATCAGACTTATCGCTTCTCAATAGTTCCAGATCCGGATGTCTCAGGACATATTCGGTCCACCAAGCGGCTTTTTCCACACCTGACATCGGTTGGTCGGATACTTGTTTGGCCAGTCGTTGAGCAGAATTTTTGTAGCTGGAATCATATTTATTTATTTACAGAACATGCATAAATGAATACCTACCTATCAGTTGTAATAATTTCCATAATAGTACTTCTAAGCTCTGCTTCTTCTAAACTGCTAGGATTCAATGACAAGCCTAAACCATACTCAACTACTTTTCTAGCATTCAAAACCTGATCGCCGAAAAACGGCATCACTAAAACTGGAACTCCAACGAACAAGGCCTCCTCCAAACTCTGCAAACCACCCTGAGTAATGAACAATTTTACATTAGGATGTCGAAGGACGGCCTGCTGAGGCAACCAACTCCTGGTGAGAATATTTTTGACAATCTCCTGCTGTGATTCATCTTCATACTTCCATAAAACTTTAAAAGGCAATTGACTTAATGTATTGACTAGCACTGATTTTAGTTTCGAGGATAACTGAGAACTCTTAACTGTGCTGCCCAAGCTGAAGTATATTACACCTTGTGACGCTTCATCCAAATAAGTTTTTATATCCTAGAAAGTAAATTACTTAATCAACTCAAAGGTATGTATACAGTTAATTTGACTATTACTTCTGGTAAGGGTGTTGGCTGGGCCTCAATGTGCAACCCACCACCAACATTAACAGTGCGAACAGTCAAAGGCCTCACACCGTGAAACACTGGATTCGAATTTATGAAAATCATACCGACTTTCTTCTCTAACTCTTTTAGTGGAGGCATATTTTCACCGAAATACTTTTTGATGACGACTCTGTCAAGCTCTTTATTAATTTTATTTAAATAAAATTGCCAAATGAAGTTTACGGCTATGCTCATAAATCTTTGCTTGAAATTGAGCTTACCAGTGTAAGCCAAATCAAAATGAGGATACAGTATTGGATGGGTGGGATTTCCAACGGCGTTATGAACGTTTTGATGAGCATCCATTGACATTATACCTAATAAAAGATTAAGTTTACGTATTTCAAAACTTAAACTTACTTACCTATTAAAGGACAATTGTATTTATAAGCAAAAGCAGCTCCTATACTGGCATAATACTCAGTTATAACCAAATCAAAATGCCCACTACCCTCAACAAATTCCTTCATTCCTGGCTGACTCAATTCAATATCAGCAATCAGCGGCATCATATCAAAAAGCTTCAATACAAGTTCAATTCCCTCTCCGGATTTCAGCATTTCATAAAAACCTTCCTTTTCCAAAATCCTATAGACCACGCTTAAGTCGATTTGAGTAATGTTCTCATGGTGTTGCATAGGGTTTAAAGTGAGTAAAGTTAGATGATGACCTCTGTCTGCTAATTCCCTAAACAAAGGTCTGTAAGCTGCTTGGTGACTGTAGAACGGCAAAGGAATGTAGATGAGGATTCTCGAAGAGAGAGTCGCTCCAGGGAAAAGAAGGCAAGCAACGAGTATGAGAGTGAGACCCATGGCTGAAAAAAAAATTTAATAAAATGATGTAACGTATTTTTGCGTTATGGTTTGTAAAGAGGTGAAACGTTTTCACCTATATTTATTAACTGATGAACCTATAAATTGCAAAATGTAGCAATTAACCATCACAAACAAGTAATGTCTTAAAAACTAGGAAATATTCTTTTGAAGTAGGAAATATCTTGGAAATATTAATAAAGGAAACGCTCTGACCATGGGTGTTGCCTTGAACCAGTGAAGCAAAAATTAGACTAGATAAAGTGCAAATTTTATCAAGTAGCCCTTGATACTATTTCGAAATCCATCTGGTTCAACACAAAATTTATACTTCTTTGGTGGAAATTATTGAAGAATTAATGGTGTCACATTTTTTGAGAATAGATGATACATCAACAACTAAATCATGCCCTAATGGCTTTTTAACTTATAATGGATCTTGGAAATGAATACCTTGCTTCACTGGGTTAGTTATGTTAAAGTAAGTAGGTAGGTACCTATTATTTTATTGAGCCTGAATTTCTGGGTTACTTTTTGTCATTCCTTACCTATAGGTGACCAAACAAAACAAATTGTATAAAATTGAACGTTATCTACCAGCCAAAGCCTAAGCACAAAATTCTACTACTAAAGAACAATTCTAAATTTTGAACAAGAAATGAATGACTGCGAGGCACAGTCAAAAAGCTTTATTGGATATAAAAGACAAACAATGAATTACGTATGTCTTTAATATAAAGGAATATATTTTATCTTTAAACAAAAAGCATGATAGACTAATGACTTGCACTGATAACTGAAACAAACAATTAATTAGTTAGTAACACAAATGGAAAGAAAATTTAAATGTTGCTATACGATAGGTAGACTTAGTACTTAGTGTCAGAGTCTTTACTTTATAATAAACTAGTGGATACCCGGCGTATGCTATTACGCTAAAAAAAAACATAAGTCTGTTTTTTTTTAAAGATAAAAGTCAAAATGACATTATGTTGGCAATACAATGTAAAATTGTCAATGCTTTCAAATTTTTTATGTAGAAAAGACTTGTGTTGCCAACATAGTTACTAAATTTCTGACTTGGGGAATTATCTTTAAAAAAAAACAGATTTTACATTTTGTTTATATGTTGGAAAAAGCACTATTCGCACTTCATCGTATTGATGGCGGAAACTTTCAAATCTGCTTGTTAATTCTATAGTTACTTATAAATTTTGTAGGAAATTGTGTAAGTAGGTATAGTAGAGACAAAATAGTTTGGCATAATAGGCAATAAAATATGGAAACCAATCACAATTAAGAAACCCGCCCTAGAAATGTGAAAGACATACGTTTTTGTTGTCGCACATGCTATAAAGAAAGTAAAGTGAAAAGAGACAAGATGGGTCTATCTTTGTCAGTGTTATGGAAATATGAATATGGGCGACTAAGACTGAACCTCCATTCTCATGAGAACGCTGTTCTCCGGTTTCGAGAATAGACACCCTGGTAGCGTCCCATTGGTACCCCTGGGTACACGCCACCATTTCAAACGTACAACCCTCAGAGGAATAAAAAACAATAGAGGCCGTTATTTAGATTTTGACGATGTGCCAGTGACGAATCACCATGTTGCCGATTATATTTTGGAAAAAACCTTTATTGGACTTCTCGTCGAATAATTAGGGAAAAAATGCCTTTTTAAATTTGATAAAAGTGCAAATAAACTGAGTAACTAGAAAAACTCCTCAATGCAGATTTTTGATAATTTCAAGTTGTTTGTTTTAGTAAAAAAGGAGCTAAGAAAATATTATTATTCAAGTACCTATTCTTATTTATTTTTCAACGTGACAACATCGCATAGTAAAACGGCGTCAAAGATGACAGTTAACGTCAGTTTGATTGTGCCTTATTGCCTTTTGTTAGAAAGCATCGTGAAATCGTTTCATTCGTGATATTTTATCTTTGGAAAGTGAATTATTTGTGTGTTTTAAGACTAATATTATATAGCAATATGGTTAGACAGTGTCAAATGTGTGAAAAATTGGATTATTTGAACCCGGAAATTTCATTTCATAGGTAAGTAGGGAGTTATATTATGATAGCAAAGCAGTGGCGTAGAATAGGACATAATGTACTTCGCCAGAAAAATATCAAATTTGTTCCAAGATTGAGGAAATTATTTGGATTGATGAGATAAATGAAAACATACCTACCTATTACATTGCTGAAAGGTATAATGTATTTTTTGAAGCTTGTTATCTTTGAGTTACCAGTTGTTAATTTTGAGAATTTCATACATCTGTCAAAACTGGTATTCCAACAATAAATTGACATGTTTTGATTGTTGATTTGAACCAATCAGATTGAAATTACGCGATAATTTGCACTAGTGCAAATTATCAGATAATTGCATACTAACTGGTGCAAAAACTGGTGTTTTGACATTTTTTGACAAAAAAATTAAATTTTTGATTTATGAAATTCTCTCATTAAATACAACTCGTGCAATGGAAATATATTTATAATTTTCGACAAATTTGCACTCATGCGTTTTTAACTGAAAAAGGCACTCGTGCACTACGTGCACGAGTTCTCTTTTTCAACTAAAAATGCATTCGGGCAAATTTCCCAAAAATTATCAATAATTTCCATTGCACTAGTTATATTACTATTGATAATTTTTTCTATGAACTTCTATAGGAAAAATCCAAGCAGAATAATAATAATCCTTATGCTTGATTAAAGATATGCGTCTTTGTAGGATTCCAACAAATCCAGAGCGCAGGCGCTTATATGGATTTGCCTTCTAGGATTAGAAAATAAGTGACTACCCAAAACCGCTGATGTTTGCTCAGATCATTTTAACCTCAATGATATATGCACTAGGACTAATGGATTTAGATATTTGAAATCTGGTTCGGATCTTTCACCTGTTTCCAATGTTTTCAATACTTCGAAGTAAGTTGGTTATTTATTATTTGATATAATTTCTACATATTAGCTACATTTATTTCCATTTCAGACCTCAGCTCAGACTCTTCAGTCACTGAGTCTCCAGTCTCCTCCAAAAACAGAAGTAGTGTGAGTAGATGTTGGTTTGTGATAACAAAAAATATTGAATTATTGCTTAGGTATATTATGCAGACTACAAAAAATGAATTGGAATGATTTTATAATCCAAAAAGAAGATACAGAATATTCTCCTGATTAAGAAGGTTATGTGATTTTAACTACTTAGTTCAGTTTCCAAGCTCAAAATTCAATATTTGGCAGGTAGGGCAGAAACACTTATTAAATCATTTTAGATTCCAAGGACCCCATGTATCCTGATGTTCCTCCAAGCCTGTGGTTGAAATCGTTAATCGGGAGAGTCATGTGTTTGACAAGAAAGTTGTTTCTGGAGGGTTCGTATTTTTCATCTATGTATAGGATGCTACATAGGATTTCTTTCGGTTTTGAGATAAATAAGAGTCAGTGGTAATCATATATGCGCCTACCTACTTTTTAAAACAAGGGATTGCTCCATTATAATTTTTTCTTTTCAGAATTTTTGATGCTCCGAGTACTTCCAAATGTCTGACAGTGCTCTCTTAGTCCTCATCAACTACCTCAACAATTTCAGAAACTGAGGTACAAATATTGAAGAATGTAGTCTCAGAACCAGACGTAGGGAGCCTTTTTTGTATTATTTTATAATGTAACATGAATTTGATTGATCTAACACTGCTGTATTTATTTCATTTTAGATAGTAGACCTAATTCCTAAGATCTGTATCAAAAAGATTTATTGATCAAAAGTTCCCTAGAATCTGTTTTGTTTTCATGTTTCTGCTAATGAAGCAGAATTTTTTTTTTAATTTGCTTAATTTTTGTCACTAAATAGAAATATTTTCACCATTTAACCTTCCTTCCGCACGCCTATGATCACTCAGGTGGGGTGAAGCAGGTGGAAAGCTTTCTAACAAAGCGGCGTTGAAATCCTTTAAAAAAAATACATTTTTCCCTAAATTTAAGGAAATTTCGGCTTAGAATGGGCTCTGTCAATGGCATACAAACAATAAGGGATTTATGATTGGTATGCTCACTCTATAGTTTTTTATTCCTCTGAGGTACAACCCTATATTCAGGGTGTCGTTACTTTTAGTTGAGTTAGATTATTGAATAACAACTCTAATTAATCTCAACTTGATGACTTATTCATACAAAGTTTTCGGGTTTATGAAAAGTTGCATGAACGAGTTCGTATTTTTTCGTCTTCAGGTTTGTGAAAATAGGTATCATCATCATGTTTTTAAAGTTTCAATGTAATTATTATTGTCGGTTTCAGACACATAAAAAATAAAATTGAATTACTAGCTTAAAGGGTAAACACACCTACTGACTGATGAAACAACATGTTTTAATTTGCATATTAATAATTTTAATCATACAGATTCTTCGCTCATTTTTCATTCTTAGTGGGCGTCTATCCACTATCCAACCGGGCTCTTGATTTTTAATATTACACAGGTAAACGTAATGAATATTTTATAATTTGAGCACCAATGAAAAATTTATTCATAATCTGATTTACAAAACTAAAGGATTACTTGTATCGAATTAATAAAAAAATTCAAACGTCATCATGCCCTATTTGAATAAAGCAGAGTTAATCCCTTGCAAAAGTACGTGAAAACGTATTGAAAGTGTGCTCTGTAGTTCAAAAAGCGGGCCAGAGGTGTTTATATAGTTACGATTACGTCAAAGTATTGCAAAACCGGGATTTCACTAATGGCGTTTCCGATTGGTAGATCTAGTGCAGAACTAGTGCATTTTTTTCTATTTCTGTCTTTTTCTCCAACAGGTCGCTTAAAAAGATGCAAATACACTCAGTGCGCACTGAATCTACCAATCGGAAACGCCATTAAATATAATTTTCTATCGAATATTTATGATAGGGAAGAACATCCTTAAGTGAATAATTAACTCTTCATCTAAGATCACGCCTCTCTTTATGATAATATAATACCATCAAAGAATAAGGTTAAAGCTTCAATGTAATCTATAGCGGGCCATTAGCAAAGAAAAGGTTATTATTAATGAGGATTCCTACGGCATGAGAGTGTTAAAAAGTTTATTGCGTCATTTTCCGATTTTTAATCTCCGAAAACCTATCAAAACACCAAGTTTTTTTTATGCCCTAAAGTACCCAATTTCCAAACAATGGCCACACAGTTATGGTACCGTGGGTTTTAAGGTTTCTAGACCATCGGCAGAAGTGCTTCTTCGATGGTACCCATTATGGCGTGACGTTATTGGCTAATGGTACTCCTTAAAGGGTGTCATAATTTTGGTTGTTTTGTTTTCAACAATGTCAAGGTTTTGATGCAATAATTAAAAGAAAATGAACTATGAAGCTATTTTAATATTAACGTCAATAAAGTAAATATTTAATTTTTTTTAATATGTACCAAAAATTGACAATATATTCTTTATGGGGTAGGCCAAGGTCTTTATAAATTTTTGTCACGACATACTCAACAAGAGGTAGCATAGATCGTCGTATTCTAAGAAAATCATAAGGATGAATTTGAAAAACATGGAACTACCATAGTCGTACTATTTTGAAGATTTTAGTTATTATTTTCTGCGAAACTGCTTAACAATCAAAAAATTATATTCTTGAATTCTTGAACTTTTTCGCTGACACTCAAGCTGATGAGGAATATTGTACCTATATATTTAGAGAATCTACACCGATATTTCCAATTTCTGAATAATCATATTCCTCGTGAATGTTGGAAATGACTGGTGGTACCAGTTTGAGGATGGCGTAGGTATCCGTTCATACAAATACGTCGTCATATTCTTCGTGGATTTTTGGTACCTACATATCAGATTTATTTATTACGCTAAAAGGAAACGTATTCAGTAATTACTGGAGCAATTTTTCAAAGTTGTTGAATTTGGAAATGCCAAATGATTATAGGTACCTACTATGTAATGTCTGCCCAGCGAATCTGTGTCTACGGGGCAACGGTGAGGGGAATGCAGTTGTAAAAAAAAATGGCTGATTTCATTCATAAAATACCCAGCTGCGTGCGGAACTTTTTGGAAGTGTTATCGTATTGCAACTCGTACACGAAAATTGACAATGACCACACCTCCGCCACTGGATATTTCAATATAAATTGATATTCCAAGATGGGAGGATAAAATGACGTCAGGCCTGGCCAATAGCGAGACATAAGGTGACGTTGGCTCATTGACAATCGTATGGTTTCCCATGGCAACGGCGATCTTGCCAAAAACTCCACCAATCAGGTTCATCCAGGCCGGATGCTTGCCAAATTGTCAAAAGCTGATGGTATATTTAGAAAATGTTTATTTTTTACAATAGATCAAATTGAAGAAATCAGGAGAAATAAGAATAGATCTAACAACCACGTTAAAATATTTAGCGTTTTATTATTGTTATCAATATTTTGTTATTAAAAAATGGATTTTCAAATGAACTATACTTCATGTCTAGAATTTTCACTTTTTTATAATTAAACGTGGCAATATGGCGCATTTACATCCGAATTGCTGCCGTAGACTCAGATCCGCTGGGCAAACAATAGGTACCTTGTAGGTACCTACATAAATTTTAAATTTAAAGTTAATTTTGCTCTCTCATGGAAAGGCACGGTTGATGATAGTCAAAAAATCAAATCCTTTTTAAATACATTTATTTACACAAGAAATTAATAGCCTTTATTAAATAAAGTAATTATTCAAAAAAATCCTATCAAGCTTATTTATTCATGTTTTTTTATTGGGCTGGTACTCCATACACAGCATGAGGTACTACTGGAGCTAGTACTACTGGGGCTATTTTTGGAACACCATATTCAGCAACTGGATCGTCTTGAATCTTTGGTGTTTCACGAGGAATATTGTATTCATATTTGATTTCCACAGGCTTCACTGCTTGCTCGATACGGTACTGTTTAACTTCTTCTGGAACGCCGTATTGATCATGAGGAACACCATATTCTTCATGGATTTTTGGTGCGGCTGGTGCGATACCCTTAGGAATGACATATTCGTACTGAGTGACCACTGGAGCCGCAACTGGAGCTTCTTTAGCTAATGGAACACCATATTCTTCATGAGGAACACCATATTTTTCATGGATTTTTGGTGCGACTGGTTCAACACGCTTAGGAATGACATACTCGTACTGAGTGACCACTGGAGCCGCAGCTGGAGCTTCTTTAACTATTGGAACACCATATTCTTCATGAGGAACACCATATTCTTCATGGATTTTTGGTGCGGCTGGTGCGATACCCTTAGGAATGACATATTCGTAATGAGTGACCACTGGAGCCGCAGCTGGAGCTTCTTTAGCTAATGGAACACCATATTCTTCATGAGGAACACCATATTCTTCATGAGGAACACCATATTCTTTTTGAGGTACACCATATTCTTCATGGATTTTTGGTACGACTGGTTCAACACGTTTAGGAATGACATACTCGTATTGAGTGATCACTGGAGCCGCAACTGGAGCTTCCTTAGCTAATGGAACACCATATTCTTCATGAGGAACACCATATTCTTCGTGAGGAACACCATATTCTTTTTGAGGTACACCATATTCTTCCTGGATTTTCGGTGGCACAGGTTTAACATGAGGAATAATGTATTCGTATTGACTGACAGCTGGAGCAGGAGCAACTGCTTCCTTGTTTAATGGTACACCATATGTTTCTTGGACTTGTGGTACTGGTTCAATAGGTAGGATGTTGTTTTTGAGGTATTCTAAAGGTATCCCGTATTCGCTGTGGGGTTTTTCTGGGACTAGACCAGCTGTGCAGATGCCGATCGCAACAGTCAGAACGAGAAACTAAAATAGAATATAAAAAAAAAATATTAGTAATAAGAAAATAAAACGAGGAGTGCAAATTAACTATTTTTGAAAAATATAAAATAGGTAGCTGCTACAAAAGAGAAGCTTGTCATGTCGGATATACTTGTAGAAAAAAAATCAAATAAACCTAAATGTAATGTACTTACTGACCTGTTGCATTATTGGTTTTTCTTTGAAGCACACAAAACGAATGAATGATTTCCTAAAATTGAATTACCATTTTATATACCTACATATTTTTAGGTCCCCAAAGGAATCTCTAACGATTTATTAATGACAAGTCGTAATCGACTTCCTGCAGCTTTATTTCTGGTTTTTACTACCAGAAAGTTCTTACACGAAGCTGTCCCGGATCTGGAAGATTGAAATATGATATTATATTTTATTTTTGAAATGCATATTGAGAAACTTACCCAATAATTTTTACTAATAGGCTCATAGAAGAATGTCAATGTTGATTAATTAAAAAATAATGCTGAAACAGGTCATAAGTAATTATTTTACAATCAAAGTGTTAATTTCTATTTCTTTGTGACATTGATTCCATAGAAAGTGTTGCCTTTAAAAATACATAGGTACCTAGTTGCTGAATATCGTTAACTTACACTTATTCTAAATTGAGTTATTATTATACTGGACTAATGGAACATATAGAGGAAAATGTATTTACTTAAAAATGTCTAAACTCAAAATTTATTTCAGAAACTTTTGCATAAAGCTCAAAAGGTCTAGAAATTTAAAATGAAGAAGAAAGTACACCAAGGTTTCACTTAAAGGCCTCTAAAAGCAAATTCCTCAAAGCTCAAGTAGACCACGGTCAGTTAGCCTCAGAGAGTTAAAAATTTTGACTTGATAAAGAATGTACCTAGGTATTTCAAAGTTCCTAAACTTCAAAGGATGCTCAAAGACTAAATGAAATAAAGGCTCCTGATTTGTACCAAATTCTTGTAGCTTCAAAAATTCTCTCTAAAGTTGCACTCAATGCATATTGTACATCTATCAATGGTTACTACTGAGAAAATTCTCTTGAATGGCAGTAGGTGATCATTTGTAAAATTTTTAAATGTAGGTACGAAGATATCAGATTGAACTTCTATAGTAGTCTCAAATTCCTCAGAAAACTATAACTAATTAATTACTAATTATGTTAAAATTTTATCTAAGATGATCGAAAATAAAAATAATCTTTTAGAAATAAGATCCGGTATGGAGTAGGTAATACCTAGAAGGTTGTGATATTTGATTTTTTTTTCTAAGCTGACATAAGACTCATGTATACTATACCTACTCATTGTCCCTTTCACTTCCTATATCAGTTATTTGTAACAATGGGAATTTCGAAAAAGAAAGAATGTCGTCCAAATGTAATTATCGGAATATTTTTTGGCTCCCCGCCACTAAATATTAATTATAAATTTCTAAAGCTTACAAATAAATCAATCATTGTTGAAGTGTTTGTATCGACATCAATGACAATGATTGTAAGTACCTACCAACGATTTTAGACTGCATTATATTTTTTCTGAGACTTTGCTTATTGTTTTTTTTTTTAGACTACAAAAGGAAATGTGCTTTTACTTTTAGCAGCTATTTCCAATGTTGCTGTAGGAGATTATCCAGCAGTTCTGCCGGGCTTCCGATACCCAGCTCCGTTGCCTGTGATACCTCCAGCGCCAATAGTGCCATTCTCTTATCCTGCGGCTGAGCTGATGCCATACCCCGCAGCGGAGCCTAAAGTACCACCAACGACTTCATTCCCGTACCCACCTGCAGAGCCTAAAATAGAAGTAGGGCCCTCAATATCGGAACAAGCACCTGAAGGGCCTAAAATAGCACCAGCCACTTCATTCCCGTACCCACCTGCAGAGCCTAAAATAGGAGCAGGGGGCTCAGCACATAAAGGGCCTAAAATAGCACCAGCGACTTCATTCCCGTACCCACCTGCAGAGCCTAAAATAGAAGTAGGGCCCTCAATATCGGAACAAGCACCTGAAGGGCCTAAAATAGCACCAGCCACTTCATTCCCGTACCCACCTGCAGAGCCTAAAATAGGAGCAGGGGGCTCAGCACCTAAAGGGCCTAAAATAGCACCAGCGACTTCATTCCCGTACCCACCTGCAGAGCCTAAAATAGAAGTAGGGCCCTCAATATCGGAACAAGCACCTGAAGGGCCTAAAATAGCACCAGCCACTTCATTCCCGTACCCACCTGCAGAGACTAAAATAGGAACAGGGGGCTCAGCACCTAAAGGGCCTAAAATAGCACCAGTGACTTCATTCCCGTACCCACCTGCAGAGCCTAAAATAGAAGTTGGGCCCTCAATATCGGAACAAGCACCTGAAAGGCCTATAAAACCGCCAACAAATTCTTTCTCGTACCCACCTGCAGAGCCTAAAATAGGAGCAGGAGCCTCATCATCGGACCCAGCATCTAAAGGGCCTAAAATAGCACCAACGAATTCATTCCCGTACCCACCTGCAGAGCCCAAATAGCACCAACGGCATATTCAGCCTCATTCCCACCTACTGCAGGTAGGTAGGTCACCTTATTGCTTCAGTCTTCTTTCTGCCAAAAACTTATATTTGTGTCATCGCAAATTAAATACTGAAATTTCATTATTGTAGACATTTGATTGATATCATTGATATCATTTTCAAATACTTCGTATATTTTTATTTTTATGTTAAAATATAGATTTTCCATATTATGCACTTTAATTATTTCTCTTATTTGATTGTTGTTTTTGCATTCGCCGCTGATGATGGATGATGGGCACAAGCTCGAAACATGTCCAGTAAATTTCAATATCACGTGTCTGTTTTTTTTTAGTTATACCATTTCCCAAAAAAAAATAATATATGATTGTTTTATGAAATTATTCTTGTTTTTTTTTTGTGTTCAAAAAACGCATTTTGCAAATTTTCAACAGTCTTCAATCGTGGACTCCGCTCTTGGAAACAATGTCTGGTATATTATCCCTGAAAGCATAGAGCACTAAAGTCTAGTCCTTAGCGTCGAGTCGGACCCTCTCGTTTTTATTCTAATCGGTGACTTCACCGATGAGTTAGCTATCTTTGTTTAGTGAATGGAAAATTACAAATGACCGGCATAGAATGGTGGATCCATCGGGAAAATTTGATGAGAATGAAAACGCAAGGGTCCAAGGAATAAAATAAAACGTTTGTTCAAGAACGTTTTTGAAAGCGACATAAAAAACCTTCTAAAAAAAAGTTCTGGATCCTTGTGTTGTAGGACGTTTCTGAAAACAACAACAGCAAACGCCTTACAAACTTTTTTTTTTTAAGGTCCACGTCATAGTGTTTAAAGGTTTCTGTTGGTCGTTTTCAAGAACACCATTGAAAACTTCTATTTTATATAGCTATGGTCACTATGGAAGTCTGGAAACTAGTTTGACTCAAGACGTTTTTGAAACATCCATTTTGGACATCTATATGTTGTTTGCAAGGGGCGCTATCTTTGTTTAGTTCATAGAAATTGCCTACCGAAAAAATCTTTCGACGTCAAAAAATTTGTTCCAACCCAAAACCCAGCAGGGAACCGTACCTACATTTCACCGTCAGGATTCTGCGTGAAATCCGAAATCCGTATACAGAGTGGTTCTGAAACTGTTCGTGGGACGGTTTTTTTGATGGGTTGGAACAGAATATGATATTTGAAGTTGTGACATTTGCAATAGAGATAAATGTTCATTGGACGTTCTCAGCAGAGTTATAAGTATTTCCAAACTCAATTGGAACGAGGTACCAACTGGTGGCTGACTGGTCACTGAAAATTTCCATAAGAAATGCACTGGCTTTAGTCAGCCACGCAGTTATGATTTATGTTCACCTTGTTCCAATTGACTTTGGAAAATCTATACTTTAACCGAATTTTCGCGACGAATGTAGTTCATCCAAAGACGAACCATAGTTCGTCTGTGACGTCATGAGGTTAAACGCTGGCTAGAAGCTGCATCCATGCTTCCGTCGAACTGCGTTCAATATCACGTCATGAGTTTCTCACGAAAGCGTTTGTGTTCATGAAATCATGGAAATAGTTCGTCGCGAAAGTTCGGTTTTTGATTGACGTTTTTAAAACGCCCCTGGGTCCGTATTCTTGAAACAGGGGAGCAGCGTTCCCAGGAGAACGGATATTCCGTCTTTGTTACTTATATTATCATTCGCATATCATTGAGAAAGACGGAATATTCGTTCTCCTGGGAAAATTGCTCCCCTGTTTCTAGAATACGGACCCTGACCTCTATGGCCCTGACGTACGACCGGATTCGTTTTCAAGATTTTTTTCAACGTTTCCTTGTCATAGGGATCTACATGAGGATTTTGCACGCTTTAAAGGTGGTGTAAACCAAAAAAGTTTTGGTTTATTATAATGTAAAAGAAAATCCGAGAGCAACATCGGAAACCTCGTCTCTTTGCCGAATTTTTATCAAAAAATATCAGTTTTTAGAGTTTGCAACAAAACGTGGACGTGACGTCACAAGCGCGTGGAGCCCAACGCCCAACAGATTCTGCTTTTGTGTACTTTGGTTCAAAACCAAAAGCCAAAAGCCATGTTTCAGCGTTGGTTTCACCTATTCGAGTCGACCCGTATTTAAGTAAAAGTGGCAGGATTTCATAAGAATCTGAGTCTACGATATCCAATCGGTTCTGACGTTCCGCTTCCCCGGTTGTTTTAAGAATGTCTTGAAAACCGTTAGGCATGAAATGGTTTTTTGGAAATTTATTTATTTCTTGTTATAGTTTGACAAATAAGGTCAGTTGGGGTAAATGTGATAACGGGGCAAATGCAATAATTGGCATTTATTCTAACACAAGCGAAAATTTTAGACGTTAGAGTGGTTTTTATTACAGATAATATGTTTTCGAACGAACTCCCAATTTGGCGAATCGTTCCTGTCAGTTGTCAAAAATTTTCCGTTATTTTCCAAACAGCTGTTATTTTCGGTTACATGTCGA